GTTTTCTCCGTATGATGAAAATCGTTTCCATTTAAAGGCCTTCGACGCGGGAAGATCAAGTTGATTCTTATCGCACTGCCAGCTACGTACAATCACGTCGTATCTAATGCTAAACTTGAGCGCCGACGTGTGTGAATAAATTCTGCGGAGTACGTGATCGCTTACGGAATGATCAACGATAAAGAGCGATACTCTTAATTAGGAATTAACTGCTGGTCGTACTGCAGGTGGAATCCGTTACGTACACGTCTTCCACCTGTATACTTGGATATTTCTATTGAATAGGGGATTATTTTACTTTCTACCAGAATTGAGTGAGTGAGTGAGTGAGTGAGAGAGAAGGGCAGGAGAGAAAAGAATATGAATGAGAGTTAAAATGAATAAGGAACAAGAAAACATGCGTATGCATAATTTCGATTACAAGGCTCAACGATATTCAAAATTATACGCTTGCGTGTCTCCTCATATATTTCATATTCAAATATTCACATTATAAATAATAATGTACGATATATTATTATGAATATTCTTTACAATGGATATACATTAATTACAGCTTCTTTATAATCACATTTTATGTTAAAATCAGCATTTTCCGTCGCATATAAGACAATTAGTTTTACTACTCTTTTATGATCATTTATCGAGATTATGGATGCGCTATCAATTAGATAATAGACATGTCGGTGAAAGTTGCGTCACGTTAATGTTACGAATAAATTTCAGATAATAGCGATTATAATATCTAAATATATACAGGAATATTAAAATTTAGCGCCTGTGTATTACAAGGTCAGTTTACTAAGATCAATTCTAGATCACACAAGAGAATAATTCTGTCGGCAATCACCTGCCCCATGTGCGTGGTCATACATGGCGACAGGTATTGCACCTGTAATACACCTGCATCCGATCGCCCGATTTGGAAGAAATTTATCGCTCCGCCCCGATTATCAGAAATTTATCTATACGTATATTGGCACGGGCGTAACAATATTATTGGAATTGCGATGCAAGATTTATTATCGATATAATTAGACCTCAGGACGATTCATCACCTATTTAATTAGATCTCTGCGTGGTGTCATCATATCTTATCATTATATCATTTGCTAATATCAGCAATAAATTTTTACTATCAATTCGATCAGTATTATATTATGTGTGACGCAAAATTTACTTTAATTAAAACATGATAACGAAGAAATATTATAAATGTATTGTTTTAAAAAAAATAGAAAGTGAGAAAATGAAATTAAATAAAGTTCTCGCGAACTGATAGTTCATCTCATTATCAATCATTACGCGTATCGCGGGTAAGTGAGATTTATGATGACAACGGTATAATTCACTAGTGACTAAAAATAGAAAAAGTATTCAGGAAATGAGGGTGAGTTCGTACCCTGAGTTTTATTTAATTGTTATTTACACCAAACGATCACGCGATCAAGAGAAAGGAAAGAGCTTCCATTTATCGATGATAAGTACAAGCAGGGGAAACTAAGAATGTAAGGGCGTACGACTGATTTAGAGGACTAATTCGCGACAATTATCGCCGCGTTGAATTATAGCTTTAAGTCACGCGGCTTTCTGTATCCATCATCTCGTCTGATATATCAAAATATATACACGTATAAAACAGAAAAGTTCCATTTTTTTTTTTGCAATTTACATGAAAGATAGGTAATAATTACTGATTTTAAACTTCGTATAGTTACGATACCTAAATTAAACTGATTCTGCATTCTATAAACAAGAGAAAAATAAATTTTACCTTCCTTCGGAACGAAATATTGAAAAGTTTTATATGAAGTGTATAATAAACTAATTATTATTTTCTTAATATCTTGAGTAAAAAATTTAAACATTTTAGCAAAGTTTTAACATTCTAGCAACTTATTGTGTGAGTGTTCTACATAATTGATGATTTAAACAAATTTATTTTTAAATGTATCTATAGCTAAATTTTTTAATATAAATGCTTCAGCAAAACCGTTCTTTCCTTGTATAATCTTTTCTACAAATTTTTTTTTATTTGCATTAAACATTTTTAAAAAATTTTCTTTCAGTTACTTATCAACAAATCTTGGACAACATCTAAGAAAGTTTATACGTAAATAGGATCAAGACATCCATAAAGTCGAGCGCGTAAGCAGCCTATCCGTACGGAAATATCGACTTTATAACATATAGCCACTCAACCCGTTAAAAGAACATCGTCACGCACTTCGACAGGCTAAATTCGAGACGGTCCGTACATTACGGAGATGCATTTATACCGCATCTATGCGTCTGGCGCACACGCTGCACGTTCGACACGCTATGCGTGTGCACCTTGCGCTCGGTGCCTCTCTCCCGTGCATTGTCAGACGGAATGCCGGAAGTTTCGATACTTCTATCCAGCGGCGTAAAAGCCGCGACTACGCCAAGCAATCTGCCATGCAATAAAATCGGCGACAAGCCGTGAATTCGTGACACGACACTCATAAAGGGATTTATGCGTACGTTCGAGAGAAATGAGTTGACGTGGCTGACGTCGAAAACGTTATCGACGGCGAGCATACGTATACATATGCGTTTAAATTGACCCTGTGAATAGCTTTTGTTGCGTATCTATACCGCAAATCTAGATTAAAATCACTAGCTAAAGATATTTCCCTAAATAGCTAAATTATTGTATACCATGTTGTATGTTAAATGATATATAATAATTTGTGAAACCTTTTACATACACATATATACATTTATTATTTATTACGTTACGCTTGACAACTTTACAACTCTATTGTTCTTATCATAAAATCTTATAGGGTATGATCGGTACTATGTCACTGAAAATATTTCAGACAGGATACAGTTGCAAATGTATTCATAGTTACAACTTTCTCATGACAGAGATATAATCAAATTAGATAAGCAGATATACATATGTATATACTTGCAAAGATACAATAATTAAAGTAAATTGTATTAGATTAAAATATTTTATTTAAAGCAACAAAACCCTGATAATTAAAAAAATTTTATTCCAAATAGTTTTAATTTTTCATATTTATGAAAACTACATCAATGTTCAGTGTGTTCGAATCTATATTTAATATTTTTATTATTTCTATTATTTGAATCATTTTAAACTTTAAAAAAAAAGAGCACAATCTTATTTATTACTTTAACCCTCAAATTCCACACTGGTGCGAATCAAAAAAATATTTTTATTTTAACACATATTTTAACGTATTTTTGCTCTAAATCTTCATAACAAAATTAACGTTTAAAAATGCAAAGCAAAATTCGCCAGTATAGAAGTTGTTGCGATTGCGTGTGGAAAAAATTTTTCCCAGCCATTTCAACAAAATAATCATTATATTCAACTTAATATATGCTACATTTATTAAAGTAACTGCTCTTATTGGTATACCATTGTATTTAAAATTCTTGAGTACTCACCATATTGAATAGTGACGTTAGAAACGAGAAGTGTAACTTCACTTTTTGTTACGTATCATTTGTAAATATAGATAATTTGGATAAATGATAAGATCGTTTTAAAACGTTAATATAAAAATAGACGAAAACTAAGCTTATCCTCGCTGACAGTCAGTAAATAATCGTAAAAAGTGATGAAAAAGACGTGTAAGTGAAAATGGACTACGTATATGCGCATTGAATAAAAGCACTTTACGTGCCTTTTATCACGTTTTGCGATTATTTACTGACTGTCACGGATAAGGATAGCTTTCGTTCATTCTTTTACAATTGTTATAAAGCGATATCATAATTTCCTTTTATCCAAAATCATTTTTATTTAAAAATGGCACATAATAAAAATTAACGTGTCATTTCTCGTTTTTGACGTTACAATTCAATATACTGTGGTGATTATTCAGGAGCTTTAAACATGTTATAAATAAAACTAGCAAAATAAGTAAAAAAATTATATTTTTTACCTATTAAAATATAGTAAATATTTTTTCGAAAGAAATGAAGAATTTATGTAAGTCCAGTAATACCGTAAAATTTTAAGCTTGTCATTATTAATGTACTTTGTATTGGAGCTAAAAGCGTTGTATTATGAAAGTATATTGAAATTGTAAGTATAATTAAAATAACAATATTTATCCAATGTTTACTTAAACAGCTTATATCTTTTATTGGTTTTAGTAACTGTATGTTAAAATGAGTCAAATATTAATTTTTTCTTAATTTTATTTTTTATAAACTATCTATCTTTTATATTATTTATTCTGAGATATTCAAATAGATGTGGCATTAAGTTATATCATAAATTTGAAGATTATGGAAGCAATAAGCAATAAGACTGATGCGGTGAAAAAGGTCTGAGATCAATCTTGCAGCAAACTGTTCAAACGCTTGGGTAGTTTTGTCGCGAAAGCCATAGCAGATCCGGTATCGAAAGAGAAAGGATTGATTCAGGATGCGTTGAAGATGGAGAGGTGCAAAGGTCCTAGTACAAAGTAAGGACGACAAAGAAATTGCATTGCCGCGCTAAATCTCGGTCGTCGATATATACCGACGTAATCAATTTTCAATTGGTACGATTGATTCTTTCCTTTCTATGTCGTTGATGTCTTGATCCCGGATAACTTCGTTGATTTTACAAAAGATATATGTATATACACGTGTTATCTTTGCGATAAAAAATACAAATGCAGTATAAATTAATACGAAAGCATTATAAGCTTTACTTTTTTAATTTGAAACAAATATTTAAAACAGATTAGTTTGATTGTAAAAATTAATTTTTATAATTAGATATAAATTATATAAATTGTGCACATACCGATCTAAAATTAAATTTTATTTACATAAAGAAACAGATTATTACTTGATCTATGTTTCTTTTCATTACAAGTTTAATTATGTTCTTTTTTTTATTTGGCTAAGTTAAGATGATAGTGTTAATTGCTGAACATTTTCGGATCATTAACGGATTAATAGTTTTTCGTAGAAATTTTATAAAAAATTTAATGCAAACTCACCGTGATGTCTTCAAACCGTCGTAACCTTTTAAAGAACGATGTTCTTCTAAATAACTGAAAAGATTCTTCAATTCGGAGAGCTGTTCGTTCCTTTCTATCATCGATTCTTTCAGAACCTGAAATACATAGTTACAATACGTTTATAAGAAAACAAAGTTATTAAATAAAAAATAGAAAAATTAAAAATATTACGTAATTTTCTCGGTGTATTAAATATATATTTTATAATATATTAAAATATTAAAAAAAATAATGCTGTTAATACATTTTTTTTTTAATATACCTATGTGTGATATTAAACATACATAATAATTTTTATAAAAATTACTAAAGAAATTTTTATAGAAATACTAAAAAGATGTAAACTGTATCACGCGCAATTAAATTTTAGTCGAAAAAATATTCAAATAATTTTCATTTCTCTGTATTTGGGAACGGCTATACGAAATTAAAGGACTGAAAAAAGGCATCGTGCAATTCCGCGTTTAGAAAGAGAATTGCGTTGTTCAACCTTAATCGCGCTAATCTTTGTCCTCCACTGTACACGTGTACAGGAAAATTAAAAGAAAAAATAGAGCAAAAAAGGAGGGAGAGATGAAACGAGGGGAAGGGTCGAGTAGCGCGGAGAAGAAAAAAATCAGGACCACCGCTCCTCCTCGAAAATAAAATCGGTTTTCCGATAACTGGTTATTTGCTCGCACAAGTGGCTCGCTGACTGGGCGAGCACGTCGGAAGCGGTTTTCGCGTGTAATATTATCGAGTTATCGGTAGGATAGGAGAGCATTGATCGCGCCGGGGATAGAGGCCGGGGGAAATGGACGAACGCGAAGAAAGGGACCGAAAGAGGATGCCCGGGGTGGGTTGCTAGAAAGTGTAGCACGAGAAGAGAGATGCTGGAGACGAGCGTGCATTGCACGGGCACAATATATCCGCGTGATTACAATATGTCGGGGCTCGAGAGACCAATATCAACGTGAAGTCGACTCAGCCAATGCTGATAATCCCTATTGTTGATGCCTCCACTCGGCTGCAACTCCTCTCGCAAATGGATACATCTTGTTTCAAAATTTCGAATAACGCGACGTAGCGAATATATTGAGGATGTGCTTGTATCGTAAAAAATTTCTTCTAGAATATCTGAACGTTACACAAATTCGACGAAAGGTTCTTCAGTTTTGGCTGCGTCTCGAAATATGTAAAAAATGTAAAAAAATTATAACGAGAAAATCGATTCTTTTCATTTTTATGTGTGATCATGGACGATTTTATAAGGTTTTCAAGAACAAAATTTTCACTCGAATACTTTAATTAATAAGAAAAATCTGTTTTATTGTACATTTATAATAACAAAAATGCAAAAGCTTGAGTTACTTCATTAGAAGATAAAATAATCACATTCCCTTTCTATAAACGTTTTATAGAAATTTTCAATTTTTTAATCAGATAATATGCCTATTGCCTTGTTTTCCAACATGTATATTTACTGATTAATCATCATTGGTTTTGGCTTCGAAATAAATTGAAAATTACGTGTATTGCTCGTTCAGTCGTCCATTATGGACCGGCAATTTCTGCGTTCGTACATTCGCCGGGATCGCGTTAAAAGAGAGGTCGGAATGGCGGATATGTGGACGGCGAAAGAAACGAAACCTGTCCTCGTCGTTTATGCTCGGCGTCAGCAGGCTAGGCCGCCTTTCACACATCCCACACGAAAGACGACGATGACGGCGGCGGCGGCGGCGGTGGCGGCGGCGGCGACGAAGCTCGGTCTCTTTCAAAACAATTACGCATTCTTCTATGCCCGTTCTCCCACGTCACCTCCTATCGTCTTGTCGCAATATTGCCCCATAGTAAGCTTTGTCTACGACCACTTTCTGGCAGTAAAGAACGGCAGATCACGGCAAATTACTTGGAGAATTAACATGAAGAAAATGTCGCCATAAGTATGTTCCTATTTGTCGCGGACTGATTTATTGCTCTCGATCTGACGATTACCATATTTGTAAGACTCATTGGAAGGTATCGGCATGAGAATTTCTGTACAAGGGAACCATTCGTTTACTTTCATTACATATGTATTTATAATGAGTAAAATTTTTTCTAAGCTGCTCATTTGCTACAAATAATTATATTTAATTTAAAGAACAAAGTTTTTTAGGAAACAAGCGTTTCACTAAAAAATTTTTGATATTTGTAATTACATATAACATATAAGGATATAAGTATGTGATTACACGTTGCTATAATTATAATTATACATGTACTATTATAATGTCAATAATAATAATTACTTTGTAGTTCTATCAACAAATGTATACAGTTGGCAATCGAAAATGACTATAATTATAGCTATTATTACCATAAAAACACTGTAAATTATAGTAATTTCAATAATTTTTATGGTAATAAAATAACTAAAATTATAATCATTTCGATTTTCAACTATTGTATATATATTTGTTGATAGAACTATACATGTAACATTATTACTAATATTATAACAGTAATAACCATAATTATAGTAACATGTAATTATATAGTTATAAATATTAAGGCATTACAATCTCATAAAAAGATTATTCGAGTGATTGCTAATATTGCATTTTAGTAAACTATAATAAATCTATAAATTATTAATATTTTCATGCAATCTGTTGTAAGAAAATTATTTTATTCAAAAAGCGAAGTTCGTAGGTTAGCGGAAGACTGAAGGCAAGTGGCTTATGCCATCAAGATTGTTTTCTGTCATGACTTTCCCTTGCGCCATTCTCCTACCAATGCTGTCATATACCCCATTCACCTAGAAGCAGCCATTGCGATTTACGATTCCTCCACTCTCATCTTTGTGCACAGAAAAGCGCACAACAGATTTCCCATCTCAGACCTTTATGGAAAATATTCCACATTCCGATAAAAATGATGGACGATGTAGTTCAAATACTTCTAACATTTTCTCACACTAGAAAAATTAAAAAGGGTTTGACATAATTTGTATATGTTTGATGTGAAACAGCTAGATAATAAAAAATGACTTAATGGATTGAGTACTAATGATTGAGTATTAATGATAATGAAGCAAAAAATGTACATAATTAACAATAATAATAAATTCAAAAGATATTTACAGAGCAAGTTTTACGGTTATATTAAAGGTTTCTTTTACATCTGTGTTTCTAAGAGAAGAAGAATATTTTAATTCAACAAGGAAAAAATCTATAATTTCATGGATTTCAACACACAATTATAAAAAGTATGATTTAAGTAAGACTTACTGTTATAAATTGTAATTGATCTCTTGTGCGAAGATATTTCCGATTTATGATATATGCGCAACTTAATAAAAAAAATATCTAAGTAAACATCCTGATCTCACAATAAACAATTAACTTAAGTTCGGCTTCGTATGTGTATGTATGTACATATAAACATTAAATAATTTCACTGATATCGCAGATAAAATATATGCATTATTAATAATTATGTAAATGAAAAATAATTTTATATCGGACTGATTTATGATAACAGATACTATCCCAGGTAACTAAAATTGGAAATTAATGCTGATGCTTAATTTTGAAATCTGCCGATCGTTGTGATTTCCAGCTCTAGTTTATTTTCATTAAATTGAAAAATAACAAGGACTCTTTATATAAATAATAATCAATAACAATAAAATGGCGAAGTAAAAGTCAAATTAAGATTAAAATTTTGAAAATGTTGACATATTAAATTTTAGACTAACAATACAAATTTATTAAAAATATGATTACAAAAAAAATCTTTTATTGTTATTGCTTACTAGTTTATTTTTTTTTAATCCAAACATGGGTCATGTTGAACTCGCAATCCTGTGTCATATTTAGAAGATACATCGTGCATTTACGATTGTCTTTCAAAAGAGATTGCTTTCAAAAGGTGTGTTCAATTAGCTGCGGTCACAGCAGCTAGTGTTAATGAATGATATTAACGTGTAAGTCGGACTGCAGTTTTAATCCTTACTACTTGTATCACGATTGTAAAAAGCAGCCTTACGCAAGTTCCGTGATATCACTCGGTAAATTGTATACTTTACGCTTCTCTTCCCGTGGTAAGATTGTCGATTCGAGAAGAAACTTCGCCGATAGGCATAAAAGAGATTATATCCGCGGATATCTTGGGCTTTCGGCGAAAATTGTCCTCGTGCTCATTTGATTCCGAGTATTATTCGCCTCATAACGAGGTTTATCTTGCCTTAAAACGTGTTTGCTGTTTCGGTGGAAAATATGACAATGTTTATTGAAGTTGCATGTTATCGTGTTCATTTTCGAAGTTCGACACGTGGAAATACATAACAATTTCATTTTATCGACAATCGAAGAAAAGCATAAAGGTAATTTCAAAACGTTACATCATGTGCAATTGGCTTTATTTCATTAATGTAAAATTAATTATTGCCATTATCTATTCTATCCTTTAAAATAAAAACAGACAAGAACAAAGTATACAACAATTTCATAATATTGCAATACATCTTTATGTAACGTTAGACCATAAAATTGTAATAAATAATATAAATCAATATTAAAAAGTAATTAAGTCGGGAACATTTTTTACTAGAGTTTTATTGACACCTACATGATTAAAATAGATCATCATATCTAAATTTTTTTTTATAAAATACGTGACTTCGTTAATCGGTATTTATATGGAAGTCTCACGTTCATTCATGTATCAATCACGTTTATCTTCATGTTTATCATCCGCGAATTATTAATGCTCTATACAGACTTTATCCATACCATTCAAGTATCGTTTAAATTTTACAGCAAAGTAATACTCGCCCGCGCGGGTTGCAGCGGAAACTACCTGAGATTTCTTGAATACATATTCGTATTTCTGTCCGCCGTGTGCTCGTCTGCGGTATGCACGTAGGCGCCAAAGTGGATGCGCGCATAAATTCGCTCGCGGTACGTTAAAAGATGTGAAGTGATTTCGAGCGTGCGGCACATAACAGGGCGAGAAAAAGGTACGCGCCTTCGAGTTACGTTCGAGTAAACGCGCGCGAG